CAAATGGGAGAAATCTAAATCTTTGTAACAACTGTTACAAGCTGTGTCCACGTCTTCAGACTCATCCTCGGATTTATCAGACTGTGTATCCACATCATGTAGTGGCTGCTTGTGGGCTAGCATTGTAATGACACGTCCATTTACGATTAGGCTTTTATCAATTTCCAATTTTGCAAGACCTTTAAGAAATATATTCAGTCCAGCCGGTTCTGGAATTTCAGTATTATATGTTAAAACAGTATATTGCAAAAGATCTACAATATTTGTTCCACGTATATTCTGTCCTTTGTATACAATTTTCCCTTGAAGATTCCATGTGAGAATATCCGTGGATGTGAGAATGCAGTGAAGAATTTCTTCAGCATTGTTTTTATCAACATTATCGTTTACGTGTCCAAGTATATCTTCAACGCGCCAATGTCTCGGAGATGATCTTTCCTTGCTGTCCATGGTTGGAATGACGTTTGAATTAATGATGATTATTTTATTCTAATTCTGCAAGGCCCTCTAAAAGTGGCGCAAGTACCAATCCTAGAAAACCACTCCCGCGCTGAACAAGAATTTTCTTTTCTTTTTAAAACTCCTACTTCTGTCCGCTAAGTCAGCGAGATCGTCTTTAAATGGTCCAAGTTTGTTCAATGTTCCTTTAGGATATGTAAAGTTTTCCAAGCACTTACATAGAAAGCGAATCTGTTCATGAGATGCAGACTTCAACAGAGCTTGCTGTTGAATTGGATGAGAAATACACAAGAGCTCCACAACGGTCTGTGTTTGATATAACTGCTAGTCATCTCTGTTCGGCGGTCAACGGAGTGAAGACTTAGTTGGAAATAACACATATATAAGGGTCGGCTCGCCCTCTATAGACTTGGTCTAGACTATAGTCTTAATAGTTTTTACTATAGTCTTAATAGTCATAACTATAATCTTAATAGTCATGACAAAAGTCTTCATAGTCATGACTATAGTCTTTATAGTCTTTACTATAGTCTTAATAGTCTTTACTATAGTCTTCATAGTCATGACTATAGTCTTAATAGTCTTTACTATTGTCTTCATAGTCATGACAATAGTCTTAATAGTCATCAACATAGTCTTAATAGTCATGACTATTTAACAATTAGACAACGAAGCCGAGTTGTCTATGAGCGAATAGTCAACGAGGCGAAGCCGAGTTGACTATTCGTTCAGAGACAACGAGGCTGAGTTATCTAATTGTTTTAGTATAAACCACATAAAGAAAACGGAATTTTTCACTTGATTTTTATGTAAAATAATAACGTTTTAACGAAATGAGCGTTTAAATGGCTTCCTTTGGCGACATTTCGCCTCGGCCTTGTTGACAACTACTCAGTGCTGCGAACTCTCAAGAATGACTTGAAAAATACAACTTGTGAGTTTTAAAAAAGATAAAAAACATGTCGTAAAACAGTATAATCGTAAGAGACCGTTATAGAAGCAAAGTTTGGTTAATTAAAACTTATTTAAAAGAAGGAAACAAGGCTTAAAAATTCCAAAATTTCGAACACAAAATGGCTTCCCGAATTGTTACTAAATTAGTAAATAAAGTTTACGTTAAAAAGCCGAATAAAAATGCAAAAGAATCCGATTATCCGAATGTCGTTGAAATATTTAATTAAAATATCTGGAACATAAAGAGGCAAACCATTTCCATCATCTAGTATACATAGACAATAATTTAGATTAAAATTTAATCGAAAAACTCGACTTAAAAAGGCTCGAAAAGGCGAAAAACAAACTCGGCCAAAATCTCAAAATTTAAACGAAAAAAAAACTCTTTAAAATGACAACTAAATATACATGAACTCGTACTTAAAACAAGCACACACTAAAGAGGTTGAGAAAATAGGGGTAAATAGCTACAAAGTATTGTTCAATTTCAACGATTCTGCTTGGAATATTAACAAACATTAATTGTGCATATATTTAAAAAAATCGTCTGTCACTTTCATGCTCAAAACAACGAGCAAAGTTGAGAAAACTTAAAAATTTTACCGCATGTGTCAGCAGTTTCCAAGAGTCTTTGTTTGTGTGTAATCCAGAACCAAATTTAGGGCAGTTTGATAAGCTTTTTCCTTTAAATGCAGCTTTTTAAAAACGGTCTTTGACTCTCGCGCCCTTCGCCGATTGTTGCTACTAGTAGGCTATCACTAATAGCCTACTAGTAGCGTAGCCAATCAGAACGCACGATACATGATAGCCTACTAGTAGGTTTATACTAAAGTCTTAATAGTCTTCACCATAGTCTTAATAGTCATGACTATAGTCTTAATAGTCATGATTATAGTCTTCACCATAGTCTTAATAGTCATGACTATAGTCTTAATAGTCTTCACCATAGTCTTAATAGTCATGACTATAGTCTTAATAGTCTTCACCATAATCTTAATAGTCATGACTATAGTCTTAAAAGTCTTTACTATAGTCTTAATAGTCATGACTATAGTCTTAATAGTCATGACTGTAGTCTTAGTAGTCATGAAAATAGTCTTTATAGTCTTTACTATAGTCTTAATAGTCTTTACTATAGTATTCATAGTCATGACTATAGTCTTAATAGTCATGACTATAGTCTTAATAGTCATGACAATAGTCTTAATAGTCATCACCATATTCTTAATAATCATGAGTATAGTCTTAATAGTCTTCACCATAGTCTTAATAGTCATGACTATAGTCTGAATAGTCATGACTATAGTCTTAATAGTCTTTACTATAGTCTTAATAGTCTTTTCTATAGTCTTCATAGTCTTTTCTGTAGTCTTCATAGTCATGACTATAGTCTTAATAGTCATGACAATAGTCTTAATAGTCATCACCACAGTCTTCATAGTCATGACAATAGCCAACGGAATAAAGATACCTCTTCACCCTTGCTTTAAATCATTTTACTCTGACTCTTGAGAAGTAAACATGTCTTATGAATGCAAAACTGGAAGAGCCAAGACTTACCAAATGGATAACGGATGATGAAAGCAGCCACGGTGAAGAAAGCAGCTACAATGACGAATCGAATGGTGAAACGTCTCAAACAAGTGACGATATATATTAGAAGCATAACTTTGTAAAACGTTTTGAAGAAATAAATGTATTTTAAAACTGAAATCTTGTGCAAACGTTTGCCTTCAAAGCACGCTCTTTCCCGCCCGCGCGATTTGCCTAACCCGCCCGCCTGATTAGTGTACATATATATGTTGTACATTAATATATGCATGCACCCAAGCATCGCTAATTAATGACTGGCAACACACAGCAACGTATATAACGACCGCATATTTGATAAAAACATTTTTTTTATGGCAAAATATATCACAACTGTTCTAAAAGTTTTTTCCTTCAAGTATTCTTGATAAGCTTTCGTACGTTTCATACGTTCCAAAAATAGTTCAAGATACATTGTAGTTCATGACTCTCAATTCGAAAATTAAACGCTCACGAAATTTATACGGACGCCTAGGTATTGTCATTTGATGGCGTGGGACGCGAAACATTGCTGAGCTCAGCGAAAATAGTGACTGTTCGCCTGAACATGCCCACGACCGCCCATTTATATCCATTAGGATCCTCTTGGTTATGCAAATTCGTATTACCTTAATCCCCTTAATTACCTCAACCTTTGTGTTATACGCGTGGGGATTACCTGACAACGCTGCCATCAGAATAATTGTGTTTCTATCAATAAAACTATATATTTAAAATTTATTTTGAAAATATGCTTGTAAAACCATCGTTTTTATTTCGTTTTAAGTAACATAAGCAGTGTGCTATATCTTTGAGAAACTTTATATTATTTGCTGTGTTTTATGTACTTAGCAGCAACACATAGCAACAACATTAACAGCGACCTGGATTTTTAATGATGCGCCACCTCATTCTATGCTAATGATGATGCGCCACCACAGTCTATGCTAATGATGATGCGCCACCACACGCCTTAATCCCCTTAATTACCTCAACCTTTGTGTTATACGCGTGGGGATTACCTGACAACGCTGCCATCAGAATAATTGTGTTTCTATCAATAAAACTATATATTTAAAATTTATTTTGAAAATATGCTTGTAAAACCATCGTTTTTATTTCGTTTTAAGTAACATAAGCAGTGTGCTATATCTTTGAGAAACTTTATATTATTTGCTGTGTTTTATGTACTTAGCAGCAACACATAGCAACAACATTAACAGCGACCTGGATTTTTAATGATGCGCCACCTCATTCTATGCTAATGATGATGCGCCACCACAGTCTATGCTAATGATGATGCGCCACCACACGCCTTAATCCCCTTAATTACCTCAACCTTTGTGTTATACGCGTGGGGATTACCTGACAACGCTGCCATCAGAATAATTGTGTTTCTATCAATAAAACTATATATTTAAAATTTATTTTGAAAATATGCTTGTAAAACCATCGTTTTTATTTCGTTTTAAGTAACATAAGCAGTGTGCTATATCTTTGAGAAACTTTATATTATTTGCTGTGTTTTATGTACTTAGCAGCAACACATAGCAACAACATTAACAGCGACCTGGATTTTTAATGATGCGCCACCTCATTCTATGCTAATGATGATGCGCCACCACAGTCTATGCTAATGATGATGCGCCACCACACGCCACCACAAAAATCCGGATCGATCGGCCTGTATATTACTACTAATGTTTATCCGTGCATGGTAAGAATATTTTCATTCGGTATTTGTTTTATATAATACCAAAATAGACCAATAGATTCGTATGAGAAGCATTTTGACGGATGCGATTTATCGAAAAAACAAAGAGTGCAATGGAACGTATTCCATTGCACTCTTGGGAAATGGAATTTTCTATTCAATATCACGTGACCATAAACAGCCAATTAAACGATCAGAATTCAATAAGGTATTATATAATATAGTATATCCTATTCATATGGACGATACAATTCCGGTTCTCTAGGTTAACTAGTGTTAAACTGACATTTCCCTCTTTGATATAGCCAAACTCCTTGAATCAGTTGATAACTTTTACATCAGTGATAAAAAGGTTCTTGATATGACAGGTACTGTACTGCAATAACATTCTAGTGTAGTCCAACATACGTTTCTGAGCATTCAATTCTTAGACTTTCTCCTGCCTTGTCTCTCTTTGTAATTTGATACCAATCTATACTGTGGTTGGTCTACCAATCGAGGTAAAATGCGGCGGCAAACGGCAGTGCCTTTGTGAGAAAGGTTAGCGGCGGCAATTTTTCCCCGCCACCTCTTTTCTTTAGGCTATATAATAATAATGTCGAGTTGAAGTGAGCTTTATAAAAACATTTCCGCCCCCGAAGGAAAAACCTTGGCACTTGCTTATTTGTTATCCATTTGGCATGAAGAACATATCATTCAACAGCGAAAAGGCAGAGCTTTCCGAAGATGAAAAATCTCGTTCATACGCAGAGTAATTCCGATACAATAGCGCGCTGAAGTTCGATTTCCTTTTTTTAATACACCCTGTATTACTGTACAGTAATACTAATATTTAAACTTTTAAAGACAAAGCTAAGGTTAGTGCATTTAACACAGTTATGCCAATAGAAGAGTTACGAAAAATGTTGATCAATTCATTTAGTAACTTCGAGTAATTAATTTGATCATTACCTCGAGAATTTGAACGGGGTTCCTTAAAAAATTCCCAACGTCCTGTTTAAACATAGCTAATTTTGATGACTATTTTTTCATCCTCTGTTAAACTTAAGAAAAAGTGTCGCCGTGAAAAGTAGAATTGCCGCTGGGTTTGATCATATATAATTTCCAATGCCGGCTGAAAATGTTCAGGAAATGTTCCTGTAAACATGATTCGGGTAGTACATACTTCCTTGGTGTTCGTTCGGGCTTTGTTTTACAACATTCAGTAGGAGGCAGTACAAAGTGGTCCAATCTTGTACCCAGAGTACAGTGTACTTTCCGCATGTGTGTGGTTATTTGTGGTCACGCGCCTGCATGTCCATAATTATATATATTTGGACAGTAAAGCCTGGTTCACACGATGAAATAAGCATAAGCACAAGCAGCGGAACCTTTGATGTGCATAAACGTAAACATAAGAAGAACAAATGTTGCGTTCTTCTTATGCTTACGTTTATGCACATCAAAGGTTCCGCTGCTTGTGCTTATGCTTATTTCATCGTGTGAACCAGGCTTGTGAGGGAGAGGTAATCACGTAATGTAATTTTTAATGCACTAAATTAAAGACAACGGAAAGTGTGATAATACCAATACCAATAGCAATACCTGTAAACTTTATTTTAAGAGGATAAAATATTTTACGAGAAAATATTGATATTTGTATTCCTGTGTAGCGTGATAATTATTCACCCTCCCACGATGCGTATACCAACAACACCGCGGAAAAACGCCTGCGCATGCGCGTGTATTAGAGAATGGCGATGAATTTAATGCCAAATTGTAAACAAAAACATGGCTATTTACTGATTATTTAAGTTAAGTGAAACAAACAAAAAATACACTGGACGGGTAGTTTGTATAGGTAATCATGCGATAGCGAGTACAATTAGGGATTAATAGTACGAGTGTTGTTTGGAAATTTTGCCAAAATTGGACGAGTCGCTGGGGCGAGTCCAATTTGGCAAATTTCCAAACATCACGAGTACTATTAATCCCTAATTGTACGAGCAACATCGCATGATTACTTGTTTATTATTAGCATGACAAAATTGGATACTTCTCCGTCAAGATCATATTCTCTCGCCATTTGAAAGCCCAGTCTTACCAGACTTTCAACCAAAATTTGGTGCTTTTGTTCGTATTTTCATTTAGTTCTTTTGTTAAAGCAAAATTTGGTGCTTTTGTTCGTATTTTCATCTAGTTCCTCTATGGCAATTTCTTTTCACATTTGTGTTTAACATACCTTTCCGCCATTTTGTTTGTTTTGGGAAAATCATTAATTGTACTGCAGTACAATTAATGAAATAATTGTACTCCTCTCAACCAATCGGCATCCAGTAATTTTGTCATGCTAATAATAAAGACATTAATAAAAGTTTTCTAACATTTAAAATCTATAAAGAACAGAAATTAAGGCGTGTGAACATTTCTTATATTTCGAATACCGAACTTAAGCAAACTATCAAATATAGTTAATTTGCATACGCTTAAATTGTAGAGTAAATCATTACCCTTAAATATAGTCAACACAAAAATTATACATGCTACGCAAAAAAAGTTTTGAGTTGTATCGACAGTCACCTTTGGTTCATTTTCTTGCATAATGCTACTTCTTGCACATGCAAACTTGCTAACGCAATTTTCTTAATGTTTTGCAGTTGAAGATCCAGTCGAAGATTTTATTCGTTTACGTGACTATATTGATGTTATCAAGTGCCGTCCTTTACCAGCTTTTAAACATGAAAATTTACGTAATGGTTTCTCTAAAGAAATGATTAATGAAGCAAGAAAACATCGAAAAATTAACCAGGTATGGTTTTCTTTTTTGTTCCCCTTTTTACCAAATTGAACTTTTATTACCTAGGGCCTAAATGTCCTCTTTGTTACAGTAGATTACAGTTAGTCTGAACATGAAGAAGTTAAAGGTCTTTGAAAGCCGATTAGCTTAACCGTAGGTTAACCTAAAATTCAAACTCCCAACAGCTTGTTTATAAATTCTGAAATATTTCTTCAGAAATCTTGTCTGGATTACTAGGAGTTTTCTTCTCTGAAGTTTTGAAATAAACGGATGTGCAGAAAGTTGTACACTAAAACAGCAGATTAAATTTTAATCGAGCGCTAATTCAGCTTTGAGCAACCGGCCCCTGATGCATGTTTGTATAGAAAAGCCGGTTATCGGTCGTCAAGCTTCTCACGGGGATACTATAAATTCTCTAACACTACTTTTTAAGATCTCACGTTATACGACAAGTGCAAATCCGGTGCCTATTTACCAAATCAATTAGCCATTCCGAAGTTGATGAGAGGACTGGGGACGAGTGTTAAAAATTGCTCAAATTAAGAAATGAACCAAATCACCAAAAATGCCACCTCAAAATTAGTAAGTGTGCAAAGTTTGAAGACGTTTAATAATAAGCTTTCGAAAATAGTGAAATTACTGATTAGAAGATTGTTTTTGGGACGCGCGTCCCAAAAACAAAAATTACAGTAGATTTCACAGTAAATATCGCGATTTTTGAAAGCTTATTATTCGAAGGGTATTCATGTAAACGTCTTCAAACTTTGCATACTTACTCATTTTGAGGTGGTCTTTTTAATGATTTGGTTCATTTCTTAATTTGGGTAATTTTTAACATTCGTCCCCAGTCCTCTCATGAAGTTCGGAATGGCTAATTGACATATGACGTTGATCGCCCAATAACTTGGAAGACGTTTTGGTGAAATGCCGCTCGAACGATATTATTTAGTTGCTTTTCGTAGATTTTCTGTTTGTTATTTTCTGTTGTGTCTATAGCATGTCGTGACTGTACTTTGTCGTCTTACTGTCTTAGTGTTAAAGTGGCACTGTCATTAAAATTTTTATTTTCCATGCTTAAACTGGAGTTACACTAGCAACAAAATTGCTGCGACTTGCAACAAAATCTGATTTCAACGCATGTTAATTGAAATCAATTACACATCAATTACAAATCATAAGGCAACATGTGTCGACATTTGTACTTAACATGCGTTGAAATCCGATTTTGTTGCAAATTGCAGCAATTTTGTTGCTCGTGTAACTCCAGCTTTAGTTCCTGAGATATTTCATTTTGTTTGTAACCATGTGACGTCAATTACTCATTTACATATATAATGAGATATCAGTAATTGTTGTGTATCTTTTTTCAAAATTTGCTATTTTTTTATCAAAATCTTTCCAAAGATGCGCCGCGTTTGTTAATTCAACCTACATCATTAAGCATACTGTTTTTTTTTAAACAACTCCGTCAAAAATAGCAAAGATACACAACATTTACTGATACCATTATATATGGAATGAGTAAATGACGTCACATGGTTTCAAACAAAATGAAACTAGTATCTCAAGAACAAACCATGGAAACTATTTTTTTCAAAAGAAGTTACTTTACAGTTTTAGGAGTTCTTTCGTTTGATAAAAAATTTAATGACAATGCATGCCACTTTAAAAAAAATAAAAATATATATATGTTGGGCTATCAACCACATGCGCCCCTATATATTTCACTGACTTAACCAGGCGTCTGTCAGTCTTGTTGTCCATTCCTTCAATCATATCGTGTTTTTTTATTTTATCAGTGTAATATGATTACTAGAAAAGAAATGCCTGTAGAAAAAATTATTATTTTCTTATTATTATCATTAGAAACCTAGCCTCCGAATCCCCCCTGAATAATTATGTTTTTAACATTCCTTCGGCTTTGAAAATGCAAAAAATGTCATTTCCAAGATTGGGTAGATTTTTGCCAAAATTTGCAAAGATGTGCAGGTGTTGATATTAAGTTCTGTTTATGAACAATGGTTTATGAATCGTTCCTTTCTTTAGCGTCAATGTCGGCGAGTTTACGAAATTCTTCGACTTGAAGCTACCAATCTTAACGATGCTGAAGAACATCGACAGTATCGTTTGGAAATTAAGAAGAGATTAAATGCGCCATTTCAGGTATAGTTCTGTTCGTTAACCATGTTAAAGGGGGTTGTTTACACGAGCCCTACATGAAGAAATAGTACAATTTCCACGTCGTGCTTACTGCATGAGAAATATTTTTATGGCTGGCTCATTTGAGCAAATAAACAACATCAAACGACTTTCGTAGCATATATTTTTCACGACAAGATATTTGCAGAGCAAATTTTGGAGTAATCGACAACAGGTTTTATAAATAGGGAAATATATATTTGAATTGAAAAAGACTTTGACAGGGATACATGCAGCATGTCCCGTTTTCAATGTCATCCTACCATAGGAGTCCCATGCAATCCTTTTAAGCGAGGATGGTCAAACCGCGTAATCTCATTTTGAGTTTAGTTCAGGCTCTAAATTTCAGGATTTCGGGAACTCGATCGAACTGATGTTGAAGGATTTTGTAGGTGGAAATTTCAGATGTAAATGTTTATATTTATTTAGACCTAACCAGGAGCGTGTGCAAAAAGGCCCTCTGGCAGGAATCGAACCTGTGATTCCTGTGCAGCGGTCTGACCAACTGGAATGTATACTAAAGCGATGTCATGCAGGCCGCAGGTTCAATTCCTGCGTGAATCAGCATGTCTTCGAGGGCCTATTGTAGCATTTTTCGCACCTGACGTGCATGCTCCTGGGTAGGTCTAAATAAATCGCAACTTCCGTCTACAAAATCCTTCAACAACGGGCTCTCTAAATGCTCCACATTCAATTTGTATATGACACTATATTATTACTATATAGCCAACTCGATTTCTTTCTATTTGCGTCCTTAGAAAGAAAAGGCTGATCTTGAAAAGCTTCGTTTTGCCTTGACACCAGACGAATACACTACTGCAATTGCCACCATGGCACAACGTGAACAGTTAAACGTCCTCGAGGAAAGTTACCAAGAAACTATCAAACAATACAAGAGAATTCTAGAAAGAATCGCTGCTACATAAAATAACATAAGGTGGTCCAAGACCGGTAAGGTGTGCTAGGCCAAGACGACATTTTTCAATTTTTCATGATAAATTGAAATTCGTGAAATCTGTTGCCTTTGTCTGTTGTAAGTTTGTAATGAGACTGGCTAAGAACTATCTTAATAGTTCAAATATGCTTAAAAGCATTAACATTCGCATAATCTAGTTCTACCGTGATCAAGAGACTAAATCCATGGTGAATTTTTGCTATAAATAAGGATTACTATCCAGAAAAAGTAAACGTTTTTAGTAGAAATTTTGCAAATGCCGTTGCTATATACCGTGTTCCAATATACAGTACTCGATATTAGGCAGAGTTCGCGTGGCAGTCTTTGATATCCTTGAAAGTCTTTAACTGAATTTAAATGTAGGCCTTTCAATTCTTTAATACGTATTTTATTTATACGGTATTACAGCTAATAGAATAGATGGATATACCAAGATTTTCACAAATATCGAAGAGAATGCATTTTAGGACGTGATAGCATGCACTTACAATCGCACTTTTTCAACAGCTTAGTACCCTCAGGTCTGTGAAACTACGAACCCTGTTATGGTAACGGAAAATACAATTTCTGTGACCCCACTCATTTTTAAAATAGTTTTTTAGTTTAAAGTAATTGAATCGTCAATAGTTTGGAATAATTTTCAATTTTTAAATCGTATATTCTACACTAAATTATGAGATTTAAAGAATACGAGTTTTTGTATCTGCGCATGCAGATATAATAAGCCATTGCCTTGTCAGCTGTTAACTGTTAGTTTGTAGCCAATCTGCGACCAGCACAGTTTTAATATAAATTTACGTCATTTCATGCCTGTTCGCAGGTATACCTACGCTTCGACGACTGAATTATTTTCTGTGACCCCACTCATTTTTAAAATAGTTTTTTAGTTTAAAGTAATTGAATCGTCAATAGTTTGGAATAATTTTCAATTTTTAAATCGTATATTCTACACTAAATTATGAGATTTAAAGAATACGAGTTTTTGTATCTGCGCATGCAGATATAATAAGCCATTGCCTTGTCAGCTGTTAACTGTTAGTTTGTAGCCAATCTGCGACCAGCACAGTTTTAATATAAATTTACGTCATTTCATGCCTGTTCGCAGGTATACCTACGCTTCGACGACTGAATTATTTTCTGTGACCCCACTCATTTTTAAAATAGTTTTTTAGTTTAAAGTAATTGAATCGTCAATAGTTTGGAATAATTTTCAATTTTTAAATCGTATATTCTACACTAAATTATGAGATTTAAAGAATACGAGTTTTTGTATCTGCGCATGCAGATATAATAAGCCATTGCCTTGTCAGCTGTTAACTGTTAGTTTGTAGCCAATCTGCGACCAGCACAGTTTTAATATAAATTTACGTCATTTCATGCCTGTTCGCAGGTATACCTACGCTTCGACGACTGAATTATTTTCTGTGACCCCACTCATTTTTAAAATAGTTTTTTAGTTTAAAGTAATTGAATCGTCAATAGTTTGGAATAATTTTCAATTTTTAAATCGTATATTCTACACTAAATTATGAGATTTAAAGAATACGAGTTTTTGTATCTGCGCATGCAGATATAATAAGCCATTGCCTTGTCAGCTGTTAACTGTTAGTTTGTAGCCAATCTGCGACCAGCACAGTTTTAATATAAATTTACGTCATTTCATGCCTGTTCGCAGGTATACCTACGCTTCGACGACTGAATTATTTTATGGCGCTTCGAAGACTGAATTATTTATCAACCGATATTCCCCAAGGAGCCACTTTAACCAATCCAATTTAACTTAACAATCTAAATTAACCATGAATCACTGTACTGCATTGGTAGACAGGGAATTTTCGGTAACAAATGGCGGATTGGGTAACCAAAAATTTTTCACTTGATTTGACTTTCTTGTGATGGAATAGCTTTCAACTGATTTTCGTGGATGTCCAAAAAATTTAGATAATAGATGTCACGTGATCGATTACGTCATGGTACCCATAAAAAAAAAAAAACTAAACACCAATGGCGTTAATGGAAAGAACATCAGACACTGATAAAAAAAAAACTAGAGACCCATATCTAAAAACCAACACCCATACATGCAACAGTATGAAATAATACGATGAATAATTTGGAAGAATTGAAGTGTTTGTTTTTCCAAATTGTACGAGAATATACATGAAAAATATGCAGAACTAGGAAATTCATGGTCACTTGCATCACATGCGAAATAAGTAATCTACTCACTCATTCGACATGACAATTTAATACACGTTTTGGACTGTCAAAAGTCGATTTCTCTTTGATTTCGTCAATTTCTACCCAAATATGGCACTTTCTAAATAAACATTTAAACCATGCATGCAGAGGCGCAAAAACTAAGCCTAGTGAGTAGTGGCAACAACATGCAAGGTTTTTCGGTTAGGGTTAGCCGTTCGTTAGGATTTACTGGTATAAGGTTAAATTGGAGGTGTAACGTACTGGGGCCGGTAGTACGAAGGTCGGATAGCGCTATCCACCGGATAGTGATTTTTTCAACCTTTGTAAAATGCTTGAAAAGCTGTGAAACTACGGATATAGACGGCACAAGAAGTATATCAAACATTTAACTTATAAATACTAAAACTTTAATACCAATCAACGACTGATTTAACAAAACTTGAAAAAATCACTATCCGGTGGATAGCGCTATCCGGCCTTCGTACAACCGGCCCCTGACTGCGTAGAAGGCTAAAGCTTATCTATAGCTTCACATTTTACCGCCAAATTAGTACATTGAGTCCATTGATTTAGTTCAATTTCGTTAAAAACAATATACTGTGCTTCTGGCCATAATACTTTCCAAAATACGTCAAATGACATTTCATCGTGTTGAACTTTGATTCATAATTATGATGTTATTCAGTAAATTACGTGTTGACATCTTTGACACGCGATTACAAGCCTCCCTCTTTGCTGTAAAATAATTCATTAATTAACTCGCAGCATGTCTTACCGGTCCAAGAGAGCCTCCTCTTTTGTAAAACTAACTCAAACGGAAACTTTTGAAATGTTTAGATACATGCTGGCGTTAATTCATTCTTCACAGTTTGTGAATTTCATGCTCATTTTTCCTACTGTCAAAACTCATCATGAGCGCTATAACTCTTATCACCACAGTACTAAATATGGTGTTCATTGTGTTCGTAATTGTCACAACAGGTTTCTCATTTGTACTATACATAGGCTAGTTGTTAGGACCATTTAAGGTGAACTTTGCCTTTGATGTCATGTTTACGTCTGCCAGCATGTTCCATAGAAAATGTTCATTAAACGTCCCGCTAAAACGGCGAGAGCAAGGGGCATGTATCATTTCTTAAAGAGCCGAAAATGAGAAAAACGTTTTCTTGAATTTTGAAATGTTCCCTTGAAAATGGTCTTATGCACGAAAATCAATCCGTTCATATATCTATAGAATACCTTCGTACTATTCCCTATTTACCTTCTTTCGCTGTGATGACGCCACAGCTGGCACAGCTCATAGCTATAGGCTCCAGTGTCAACCCGGATCAAACGAGGATGATAGTGCATGAGAATTGGCAGTAACGCGACCTCTGTTCGGAATGACTTACCAACACTATCATAGTATCATGTATTCATTATAGTTGGAACACCCATGATCAAACCTTTATATCTTGTTAGTCTTTATATACAATGCGTGACTGCCAACTCATAATCTGCGTTTGCCGGGGCGTTACCCTATACAGGTAGCTGTGATGGACGTACAAGCTTCAGAACGTCAGGGACAGGCTCCTTAGTTAAAAGTGAATTTTGTTTCGTTCATGTCAAGAATTAATCACCAAACGGCGTGGTCAATTAGCACTATACAATCTTCGACATGACCGGTTGAGACCATTGCTGGAAATATTACCTAATATTAGTGCATTGACTAGTCAACTTCATTATTTTTTGACCCCTTCTCCACCTTCTCAAATGTTACAAACAACCCCCAAACAACATTGACGGTAGCCTGTGTGGCAGATGGTCAGCCCGCCGCGGAACACCTAACCATCTGCTACGCAGGCTACGTTGACGTTTGGGATGTAGTTTAGAAGGAGACACATGTTGTAACAGGTGATTGACAGAGTAGGAACGGTATATTCTCAACTAGTTACAGTATTCCCAAGATTGTAGGTTCGGAACTACTGCACCTTACTGTAGATTATACTCATTACTGAACGATGTCTTTTATCTTACCGTATCTTTACACCTAATCTTATTGTTTACGTTAATTTATAATGATTTATTAATGACTGCTTTTCAATGTTTATGTCACCTTGTCATTAGTCCGCGTTTCATCTAGAAATTCTTTGGCAAAATTTTGTATCAAAAACAACATGAAGTTCATGCATGACTCTTCGCACGATCCAATTTTCTGGAAGAATCATTCAAGATGACTCCTTTGGCTTTGTTGATTCATGAGCACTCGTGTTGCTTAAATTGTACTTATATACTGTACTGCTGCAGTTACTTTCATGTTAAATATTAAAGTAAGAAATGTGACATTAGATGGCTTTAACAGCCATATCGTAATTGGCCTTGATATTCGCCAATTGCCGAAGCGAAGGAGAACTGTTGCCAATTTCGCCTAGACAAACCGAAATAGGCCAATCTCGTAGGCTGTTTAAAATGGCAAATAGGATGTATAATAATGCACTGAAAACACAGACAAAATAAAGGCTAATAACATACCAGTGAGAAGCATGCCCTTTTTTATTCCTGCATGCATGCAGTCAAACTTTTCTTCACTGAATAAGGGTTATAAGCACGTCATGTTTTCCTTTACATGCATGTAATTATGGCCGCGATACAATTAATCCTCACATAAAACAAATCTAACCCGTCTAATACAGGATATTACAGGTCTGGACGTTTCCCCTCTATCTTATTCGCTAGTCCATCAAAGTGAATGACGTTCCTTTTGACGAGACATTCGTAGAAAAGTTCTTAAGATCCCGTCGGTAGATAGAAATTCACCTGCAGTTGGAATGCATGCTTAAGCGATAGAGGGCAGCTCCTGAAGCGGTGCATTATCTTAATTACATGTCTGCATGCGCGCGCTGCATAAAAGACAGATTAGTGTAGATAAGCAACACTTAAGTACTATACTTCCAACGAACATAAAGTACACCCAATACAATACATACTGTACAAATTTAGTAGCCGTATTTACTGGAAGGATTGCCACTAGACTAAAGTATTCATTTTCAGTCGGTTTGCGAATATTTTCGACGGCGGCAAACAATTTGTTTATATAGCTATAGCTTTGATAAGCGCTTGGCAACTGCATGGACTTCTGTTTGAAAAGTGATGGCGGGGATTCGCGCAAGAAAAAAATATTCAATGCAAATGGAAAGCAAAGAAAGATTCCTTTAAAAATATTGCAGAAGCCATAGTTAATGCAGAAGCTGACTATTCATGCAACCAGATAATTTCCCTCCTTCCACTTTCCGAATGGTTTCAGTCCCTTAAGGCTGATTTCCACTGTTGCGTTTTTCGTACGCACGTACACGCACGTAAAACTTTGAATCCTTCTATTTTTTAAATATTTTACAAATAAGTTAACAAATGCATACTAAAACTTGCGGAAAATTAAATTATGTTGCTTTATTTATTTGGTTATTTCACAAGTAACATTTAAACGGATTTAAAGTTTTACGTGCGTATACGTACGTATGAAAAACGCAACAGTGGAAATCAGCCTTTAGGCTTAGCCCGCTCCACCTTAACCTTAGAGCCGCTGGTTCAATTTCTGCTTCTGGCTTGTATATGAGTTGCGGGGACAACGACAACCGCGATAATGCTTTGATAAATGCATGGATAATTAATTCTTGCGATAATGCGTGGATAATTAATTCATTTTATTTCGAATATCGAAGTCGAAATAACTTTACGAAATAACTTTATCAATCCGATCCGAAATGTATATTTTTGTTCTGAAATCCGAACGAATCCGATCGGATCGGATTCGGATGGGATTTGCACACCTCTAGTATAAAAATTGATTTACACAATATTATGCTACAGAAACTTTATATGAATAGTTTCTTCCAAAATAAAAGTTGACATCCTTTTCTTGAATTTTATTTATTAAAAATTAAACTTATTGTATAACATTTGCACCAATAGTATACAAGGCTCATCGAGCTATTGCGACTAGATACATTTTAGAAATAATATTTAGTACAGTATACATTACAATACACACAATTTTTGGGTAAGATTAAAATTTCGTCAAGTCCTGTGACTAATAAATAAGCTATGTTAATGTCTCTAGCATTCCGCCATCTTGGATATGCGTGACGTCACAACATGGGTAGTAATGCTTATTTCTGGGGTTGATTTCTTTTCTCTATTCCTATTAGCTATAGAAGCATTCACGTAATAATATATCGCACAAGAGAAGCAGTTACTTCAGTGATGTCTACTCTGCAGTTTGACATATCTATATATAAAACAAAATGGCGGACGGCAAGGTTTTGATTCACAAATATTTTAAAAATTAAGTTGTGGACAATGTTTCCCCCACAATAGGTCTACATTTGAACGGTTTAAAAGATGTTCTTAAACTATTCTGAACGTTTCAACTGGGACAAGCATAATTGTTATTGTTATTTTCCCTTTCAGTGAAATTTTCATGCAGTTGCAAATAAATTATTCAACATTTAGCATCACTACATTTTACATTACATCTGTACACTGTTAATATATTTAACAGTTATTTCTCCCCGCCCAACGACATATTCTTCTAACTTTAGCAGCTGTCAGTTTATTAGTAATAGTATAGGAGTATGCATATTTTCCATTGCGCACTGTGACAATCGCGCTTACTACACCCGTGACTCCATATTCTCCCAAACCAAGTGATTCGTAGACACCAGATCCAGAGCTGCCTTTTGATACAGAGCATCTACTTAGGAATAATCTTTCGTAGTGAACAACTTTTTCTACAGGACAGGAAGAATGCCACAATGCGCCAACTTTGTTTCTTGGATAGCCATTGAACCTGATAGTTGACTTGAGTCGATCTTTACTCGCTTGGGGCTTGAAATATTTCTGCCCGTGTGAATGTTTCAGTTTCAACACCGCGTAGTCTGCATCGAGAGAGGCCTTGTTTCTTCGGCTACCTTTGGATTTCTTCCAAGCTTTAGAAATGTGAATTTGTGAGACCTTCTTCCAGGAAAACTTGCCAACTCCTCTTGGTAACCCTAAAAAGACCAGAAAAGCGTTAGGTCGTGACGAAAATATTCTTACTAGATAAAATTCCTAGCATAATTGATGGGTATAGAACCCACCAGAGGCTATATGGAGAGGGAAATATCATAATTTTGTTGGCATCTCACTCGACTGAATAGTAGTTGAAAGGTCTTGTATATAGATGGAAATTATCGAGGGGAAATTTATATACATTTATTTGACCTAACCAGGAACAGCTGCAACTATATATAGGTCCCTGTAGTGAGATGCCAACATAATCATGATATTTATACCTATAACATGGCAGTACCGTAGTAAATATACATGAATTTGTGGTTAGAGCTCGACAACTGGCCTCTGTAGCTCAGTTGGTTAGAGCGCTGCACCGGAATCACAGGTTCGACTCCTGCCAGGGGCTTATATGAAGTTGCATTTTTCGCAGCTGTTCCTGGTTAGGTCAATTAATAAATGTACTGGGGCCGGTTGTTCAAAGGTGGGTTAGCGTTAACCCTGGGTTAAAATTTAACCTGCTGTTTTAGTTTGTGTATTTGTAGACGTCTGTTTATTTCAAAACTTCAGAGAAGTAAACTCCTATCGATCCAGACAAGATCTCTGAAGAAATATTTCCAAATTTATAGACAAGTTGTCAGGACGTTTGCTTTGAATTTTAGGTTAACCTAGGGTTAAGCCAACGCAGCTTTGAACAACCGGCCCCTGTACATAAATTTCCACTCGATAACTTCTAAGTCTCTTCAACTATGGAGAGGGAACACGTCACATTGGACGCCATGCATCTCGGTTGTTTCTTGAGTTTACCTGAAGTCAGCCTTTATACAGTGAAGACTGAAGAAATTAAGATAATTTATTATTTCCTGTCCTCTTTTAAGAACAGCTAGCCGTCTACAGTTTTACGATATCTGACTCGATACAAATAATAACAAAGATTAAATATAGTTTTTGTGTAAATTACCAAGAGTGAAGAAGACATTGATTGCTAAGCCGTCTACAGTTTTACGATATCTGACTCGATGCAAATAACAATAAGGATTAAATACAGTTTGTGTGTAAATTATACGAAGGTTGAAGAAGACGTTGATTGCCACAAAACCGAAGTTCGAATCCGAAAAGGATTAATTTAAACAGAATTATTCAAGTAATTTGAATATCTATTATTTACTGACACGATTTTAATACCAAGTCTAAAAGGTTGATAATTTGTAAAACCAACATAAAAGCTGAAAATAGCTGGTCATAAGTGACCAACACAGCAAGACCACAAGTCAAAACTCAATGCCGCGAATTGTTTGAGTATAAAATATCTTGGTTTAATCTGCATAAAGAAAGATTTATTACCCCATATAGCTGTTAATATTACAATGAAATGTACCATGTAGGTATACTATATGCATTCGTTGTGAAATTTGCCTCTGCTGAAAAACTAAACTTATATACTTCATGTATGCTAGACGGCTCTATCCGTCTGTTTTCCGTATATAGGTCTAGTAATTAGGTCCATATTGATCCAGTGCTGGAGGAAACCTGAGGACCCAAGGGCACAAAACTGTTTATATTGCACAGATCGAACCTGGTCCCTCAGCTCTAACCTTTTTCCCACAAACCAACCCCCAACTGATTTGGAGGCTTGTCTCAGATCTTCTGTTGCTCCCGAGTATTCCATTGAACCATGCCTTAATTAAGAATATATCGTTCTGGAATTTGTGGTTAGTGCTGGTTACTTTGTACTGAATCTCGGATGTTTTTTTCGATGATTACACTGAAATACCTTTCGACTGAACTGAAAGGCAGATTATTGCCAAAAGCTTAACTTTTACTCGCTTGCGTAAAAAAGGTCACCAATCCATACTTCGTATAATGGGAAAAAGATATTGAATTTTTCTGACTTGGCCAAAACTCGCGTGAATTTAATTGACTAATTCTTGGATTATACATACTTCCTATTCCAAACCACAGAACATGACTATTTATAGAAACAGAGAGCTGCTGATCTATCGTGTTGTATGATGTCCTGTTCTCACTTCAAAAACGTTGTTATTCAAGCAGTCCTCTTGTCGCCTCGGCTAATCTTTCGTGATTTCATTATTGAATTGTCGAGTGGCGAGACGAAAATTGGTGATAACATTTCGGTTGCTATCACGGACTTAGCGAAAAGCATCACGGAATTCCTTAAAAAAAACAATCTGCGAAGAATGCTAATATTTGGGAATCACAAAAAATCCTTATGTGTTATGCTAAATAAAGTTTCTTGGTTTTGGTATAGCTGCGAGTTTAGTCGGCAAATCTAAAAAATTTAGAATAAAGATGCATTCTGATTACTGTATGATTTTATTTTGGTATATGTTGCTATTTTATAATGCAAATACGAAACACGAGTTCATGTGTGATAGACAAAGTTAGTACTTCAGCAAATTATAAATCTATGACTATGTACAAAATATAAATCTATCTTATCTATGTACAAGAATAATATTCCGCTCGTCCCTGTCTAGGTTAAGACTTAAGTTGTTATAGCTTGCAAGCAGGCGAGCGCGGTTTGGATGGGTAAAACAAAATATTAATTGTCCTTGCATTTGGCAAGAAAAGGAAGTGTTTATAATTTAGGGTGGCACAATGATTAGTTATGTGCATGCGTTCCCTCTCTTTTCCCTGCTGCGACCGAATTCCATTTCTCCAATATGTGGTTGTCTAATTATGATTTCGCATGCATGAAAAAGTGGTTCCAGTCTGACTCTACCAAACACCGTATTTTTTCTCTGCGGTTTTCGAATTCCTCCTGCAGTATAGCAGTGAAACATTAAGGAGTGGCCTTTAGTGCACTTCTGGTGTGTACAGTTAGAAGTGGTAGTATCCAAGTTCTTAGAAGCTTACGTATGCTTACAGCAGCAAAACAAAGGGAGCTTTTTATATTTATGCAATGCCAGTCTTAAGAATTAATTAAGACTGAGAGTCATCTTCTGAACAATCACGGATCACCTATGTTCCAGTCATCTTCACAATCGCGGATCACCTATATTCCAATGACTACCAGCCCTCACACTGTAATATAATTTTCCTTTAATTAAAACACCTCCCTTAGTCGAAGTGATAAAGCTAAGCATATATAGTGGAAGACGCTTAGTAGTATAGATTGGATTACGTAAAAATCTTCACTTGGGCCTTGCCCTTGGCTTATCCCAACTGATCTTCACTGCCTACGGTTTCACTCTAAATGGGCTCGTTCGAATGAATATCCGAGCATCCCGTTTATATAGAGTAAAGATTGACCAGCTCGTCGACATTTTCAAATCAAAACAAAATGTGAATCAAAACGCACTTGTTTTAAAGTCTAAGAAGATTATATGGGTTTTCATTCATAAGACTAGGTGCAGCACAGCGGTATGGAATTGTACTCGGTAATCACGAAGTGTCTACATGGTCATGGTGCTTGAGTATAATAATGCATCCTGCATGTAATTAGATTTGATAATTTAGAACGCGTACTTCGCACTTTTGGCCAGGCCGCGATCCATTGATTAATATATTAAAATAAAGCAGATGTAAAACACTTACCAACTCTAAGTTTTGAAAGTTTGACGTTATAGTTTCTCCCATCATGCACACAGTGCGCAGCAGTAAGCACATGGCTATCGCTAATCAATGTTCCACTGCAAAGATTAGAAATACGAACAGCCGCGTAGTATGGAAGTGACCTGATGTCTGACGATGAGACCGCTTTGAAGACACGCTCAACTTTCAACGATCTTTTTCGTCTTGATGGGTTTGATTCTGTTGCTGAGGGTCCCTCCATAAGGGACTCAAGATCGAGCATTGGTATCACACTGTATGCTGCGACATTATCTGTTGAAATATCCCATGATAACTGTAATTCCTCCTCCTCTATACTGGACGACGTATTCAAGGGCAAAGCGTTGATTGTTTTAATTTCACCAAACACCAAAAGATGGAACAAAATAAAAGTTGCAGCTACGAACGGAGCTCTATTCTGTTGTCTTCTTAACATCTTGCGTTGCACAATTTTCAACCTGAAATAAACAGTTCACTTGCGGATTAGGAACGCTTTTTAATATATATAGTTATTATATTATTCTGGTTAATCGAGCGTTCAAGGGCCTGGATTTTCTTTTAGAAGCCTCTTTTCACAATCTAACCACGATCCTCTTGAGATGAATAGCTAGATTTCCGAACGAAAACAAAGGTCCACAGTGAGGTTTTCTCTTGACGAAGTGCTAACGAAATGTGATTACGCTCAAATACTCTGACTACTTATGTACAATTGGCCCTAACAAACCCGCTGCATGGTTCGAATTGTATTCTAATGACGGTGAAGACAATTATCATTTTTAAATTCCTAATCACTCCATGTATATTATATACGACAATTTTCGCATTCCTTACTTGGAAATGAAGCATTTTTTTCAAAATCTGTACCTTGGCGTGTATCTCGGTCGTATGTCGAGCAAACACTAAACAAGCGATGCGCAGATTATTTTGAGTACGCATCTCTGCATTGTCTCAAAATGACAAATTTCAGTGGTAAACCATTGAGGGCTCTTTCATCTTATCAATGATCTAAAAATAGCTCACGTGCCGCAAAAAATATGCGGGCTTCGACTATAGTAAACAATTCATTTACACTACAAACAAAAGTACTATACAGTAGGCACGCAAAGATATAAAACGGACAAATATCACCCTGCTTTGATAGAATCTGCATTGTGCTTGTTTAAAAACTGAGTTGATATTACGGGCTTCGGTTTAGGAATGTTTGCAGTTTCTGCCTTTTATGTCCATAGGCTGTAACCCTAACGTAGCAACGGTGAGGGGGATATATACTGCGGGATATCCACACATCATGCTGAGTATCCATCAGAGGTCACCTCATGTCGCTTCAAGCTTATTTCTCACAAATTGACTTAATAATTTTCATTGATTTCATTGCAATGAGCGGAAAACAATTAATGTCTCCATATACAGATATAGTATTGAGGAGGAGCACAGGTAAACATGCTATCATAAAATTTATCTCCAAATGGCAAATTGACAAGACTTGATTGTATAAAAATGCTTGTCAAATTTTGTACCTTAGTATCGAGTATCGAGTTGATTGGTAACTATACGCCTGTCGTCGAGGCACGAGTCGTATTATACGGTGTCAAGTTTTGTAAAGAGTATTGAAAACGGAAATTGTATATATTTGCGGTTATCGATACCAATAATTTCAAAGAAATTTATGCATACGAATGTGTAAGCGCAATTCGTATTATTCCGCATAGATTATGCATGCAGCCAATAATACATGTCGTTTTTTACCATGCAGTTTCCTCTTTAGTGCAATATATGTAACAAAGTCAAAGACACTATTTTTGAAAGGACGTCATGGATTATTAACAAGCTTTCGTTGGTAGGGATGCAACTATACCTGAAAAATATAAGTAGAATTTCGACGTTTCGAGCGCGAAAGCCCTTTGTCTGGAGTTATCTGCAGTTCAATGCAGTAATAATCCAGTGATATGCAGTGATATCTGCAGTTCAATGCAGTGATATCTGTAGTCCAATGCAGTGTCAGTGATATCTGCAGTTCAATGCAGTGATAGTCTGGAGTTCAATGCAGTGATAATCCATGACGAAGGGCCCTTCGTCATGGATTATCACTGCATTGATTCTAGAATTTAGCAAATGACGCAATGCCAATGAGAATGTCAAACAAACTATTCTATTTTATATGAAATGGTCCGCTTGTTCGAGTACGTCTTTTAAATGCTACAAGACTGTAACTAAATACAATAATATTCCATTGTAACACGTACCAATATCTCATCTTGCCCATGCCAATTACTTAATCTTCATTAAAATTCTTCTCGCCGTTTTAGTATATATCATGGAACATATACACTTTTGTTATTAAATCCACAAGACTTCAGTGTATGGTATAGAGATAGAATAAATATCCTGTTGTGAACACTCGTATTTTGTTTCCTTCAAGACAAAATAAAGCTACTTAATAGCTTAACTTGCTGCCTCCCATGCACTCAGCCACGCAACAGAGTCTGAATGAAAAGTAGAAAAAATTTGCATGGAATTTTTACTGATACTGTTGGTTTCTGTTATCATCGACTGTGTGAATATACGATAGTTCCTGTTAAAACGTCAACAAGCAATTCGGTAGCTGTGTGTTGATTAATTAATTGCAAAAATGTCAATTGCTTTGAAACAGTTATACACTCTCATTGCAGTGATTGCATACATGATGAAAGCTATATTGCCGGCAGGTGAACTCCATAGATTTTTCCATACTTATACTGGACCAACGCTGCGTCCTAATCACTTCACGGATGGTATAAAATTTTAGTTGATTGTGTAGGAGGGAATGGGTGTATTACAAGTATATTACGATGGGTTTTACCGCAAATAATCAGTTTGCCCTTTGGCTTCAATTACGTACGACCATATTTACTCATCAATTCATTCGGTAAACATGTTCCCTAGATTAATCCAATTTTGTTTATCTTGTTTGCTTATTACGCAACTAGTAAATAGTTTCGATAAAACAGCACCAAATTATTGAAATGGTATGCAAGCTGAAAAATTTGATGCTGACCGCAATTACTATAATGTGACCATAATTTACCCAAGTTCTAATCTCATGCACAGTCAATAAGACAAATATAAAGGTTACTATGTATAATAATTATAGTATCACAAGTGAAATGCTCACCTCGTTCTGGCCAAATTACAAATAGGCGTTTTCAGTTATGTGACGTCCCCATAAGAAAACTAGCTTCAAATATATGATCCCCAGTAAAATTGAAGAATTTAAATTTTATACAAATTTTTGGTGCTCAGTTCATACAATAAATGTATGCAGTGTCCTTTGGTAACCGTATTAATAATACAGTCGATGAGACTGAGCTCAGTGACAGTGTATAATTTTTAATACAGTGTATCAATGCAATACATGTACACCATCTCAGTGACATACACAGCATTGATCATTGCATGGCTTTAGGTACCCTTATCACAAAATGTGTTGGCAGAAGCCCCGTGTAAATATTTCTTTATGCGGATAGATCATTATTTAACGATCTATCTTTAGGCCACGCTTAATTTTTTTGTTGGATTACGGATTTCCCGACTTTGTATTTTTTAAAACCAGAAAAAAATATAAACGCCGCCCACCAGTTTTAATGGAATAATGCGTTGTTTTGGAATCTTGTAAATAAAATGGCGTCCTACACTCACCATTACGGCAATCCCATATAGCCTACGGCTACGCCATTACTTGTCATGCAACATGAATAAAAAGTATTGAGGCAATTTTGAACGCTAAGTTTATTTTAGAACTAAAACTATAGTGCTCGAAAGCTGTATTGTGATTGGCTGGAACGATCCCTATATATAGCAATTCTTACAATTTATTACTGATTATTTAATTGAAAAATAATGATTAATTAAGATTCCCAGGCCCTGCAGAATTTGTGAGTGATCTTCCCATGGTGCAGCAGGGCCTCATGTGGAGGAGGAAGATCTCACGACGAGAAAAGGGCCCGGAACTAGCAACGGAATAGCTTGCTGAATGCTGATCATAGATGCTGATCAATGACTGTATTGAATTCAATTACTAGTTTCTTTCTGTTTCCTTTGGCTACGAAACTACATGCAACTCGAACTGTGGAAGTACAAATGAAGCAAAATGCCCTGGGTACGAGGTTGGGCAGAAGATAATAAAAAACATTACTTCGTTAGATACTTTAGTAATTTTAGTCCAAACTTGCATTTCCATTCGACAAGTATATATACCACATTTCCATTTAATTGCTTGTAAACTTTGGAATATATGCATCTTGAGAGCAGCCCCATTGTATAAGATATATACAATGTTACAAACACAAGGCGAGGGCGAGTATGTATATAAAATCATGTGATTCGGCTTGATGGAAACTTTGTATTTCGCAATATATCTCAAAGACATGAATGATGTTTGGAGGGAAAATTGAACTTATAGATTATGTAAATCAGCAGGATTTTGGACACGACTTCCTTTGTTTATTAATGAGAATTACAAGGTCAAGGTGTAACACTTATATTTATAACTGGGTGTACACGCAGGTATGTCTTTTCACCTATTTACAAGGTAGAATGTAAAACCATCCATAGCTAAATTTCACTGAGTATAAACAAAGCGTGGTAAATAATTGAATAGTTCCTGAATTATAATTACGACAAGGTTTATTTCACTTCAGACATACTTGAGCACAATATTCAATAAGTGATAATGTGATAAAACATTTTGTAAGTGGTAAGGCGATAAAAAGAGTATCTTACAAGTGCTTGAGCCGTCGTGGTGTGAACAGATGGAAGTCATCCCGAGAATGTGGCCTAATTTGTTCAGTTGAGAGTTGACGAGAGCCGTAATCTAAAAGTTGTGCTGAAAAGCTGCAATAATATGAAGTCAAATATGTTTGTGATACGGGTAATTTACGGAACACCGTTTTATACAGTATAACAGGAGAAGTTCATTATTTATAGTGATGTGCGTGAAATACCGAAAAATATGTTGAAAAACGTCGAGGACGATCGCCATCAGAGACGACTTCGAGAGTAGTACATTCTCAAACCAGTATATAAAGAGGATTGATTGGATTTATGAAGTGTACCTTAATATTATTGTGGTATCAAGACAACCATGCATATTGGCTTTGCACTCATGGGCTTGGGTTTTGCTCATGAATTGTTAATGAGCTTGAAAAGTGATTTGAGAGAACCAAAAGTGTGTTGAAAAAACGGAGGCACTGCATGCCGAATTGCTATATAGTGTCAATTTTAAAATCAAGGTTTAAAATTGTTACTTCAAACTGCAGTTTGAGGGTATAGATCGAGGTATTAAATTGTTGTGAAGATTAACATAAGTATACAAAATCTCAGACTGTTTTGGGGAATTTGCCGCCATCTTGTTGTGACAGCTGTTCTTTATAGTTGGTCCCAGACATAGTTGGTCATAGACATGCATCACGCCTTATAGTTTAAATTTTACGTGTTTCAAAATAAGTGCAATATTGAACTAAGCTAATGTTTTAATAATTTTGTCTAGTAATACTAGAATATAGTTTAGGATTATTCATATCTGAATTCTGAAACCAATTTCCACACGTTGAAAACCTGAAAATTTATCGCAAATTCCATCGCCGAAATCTAGTTGCTAGCGCCGTTTCTGGTGGTATACGTAAAAAGACGTCAACCTTCAGGTCCCCATTTACTGAATAGCATAATTTCGTCGGTGTACATTATTAATAATAATGAGTTTGAAAAATTGTGTATCAAACATCTTTCGTGACCTACGAGATGATTTATTCATAATCTCACAGCGCATAGAAGCTATACATGGTTTTGTCAATTAACATCCACTTCACTCCTGAACAGTTCACAGCTAGTCATAACCCCAGGAGGAGTTTAGGTTTTTGTCGAGGGTCGAGTGTCGAGGGTCCAATGTCGAGGGTGAGGGTGAAAAGTCGAGGGTGAGGGTGAAAAGTTGAGGGTGAGGGTAAAAAGTCGAGGGTGAGGGTAAAAAGTCGAGGGTGAGGGTAAAAAGTCGAGGGTCGTAAAAAAAGTCGAGGGTTGTATTTTTACGACAACTAAGACAACTACTAACGATAAAAGAGGTTTTAAAACGGTGTTTCTCCTTATGTAAATCATGAATTAAGGGAGAATTCTGGTCTAGAAACTAACTCATTAAGTTGATGGTTTGGGTCGTCTGGTTAAAAAGTTTCACGCACGCAGCATTTCTTCTAGCGTGTAATGTCTCCAGGCCACTTTTGATTAAGGCATTTTTAGATAAAAAAGCGGAATTTTTTCATTAAAAGCAAAGTCAAAGAGCATTTATTATCAATATTAACTTAAAAGTCTTAAAAAGAGTTTCTAAACGTAGTACAATTTCATAAACAGGCCAATGGCAATGTTCAACCTCGCATCAAGCAAAGGTCTCCGTCCCGCCGCAGGTGTGCTTGCGAGGTTGGTCAATGACAATGTTTGGCCGTGAGACGAATAATATTGACTGAATCATTTAGCGTTAATTGGTTTCTAGTTGAAACAGTGGCATGTCTGCACCGCGCTAACCGCGCTCCGATCTAGCAGAAAACCACACAAGTTTTTTTATCATAACTTGCTATTGGTAATATATTTTGCCTTAATGTATTGCCATTACTGATTTACTGGCTTGAGGATTACAGCTGCCCGATAATCTATGCTGTTACATTAATTTGATAAGAAAGCAAAGAGATAGATAGATAGATAGATTTTATTTTGACACGCTAACTACGTCAATTAAAAACATTGATTTCCACGAAGGGCGTGTGTTCAAAAGTTATTATATATAAGTGTTGTTATGACTCTTATGGAATCAAATAAAAGAAAATAGAAATAATCTAACTGTTCCAATTGACAAAATTGACAATATAGACAACTAACAAAACATATAGATAACTATTTACAATAAAGGATATATATATATATGTATAAATATATTATTTAGAAACATGAGCAGCAATTTTTCTTTCAAATAGAGACTGGGACCTAATTCCTCTGATTTCTTTAGGCACTGAGTTCCATATTTTTGCCCGTTCTCATATTAGACATAAACATGTTAACTTGCGAGCGTGAAAGGGGCTTAGAAAATAATCGCTTAGAAAATTTACGCAAGGTAGTATCTTTTAAAAGTTAATGTAGTTCTGCATACATATATATGATAAGTCCATGTCACAACATTATTTTAAACAAGTTATTTTGCCCACAAATTTCGACCCTCGACTTTTTACCCTCACCCTCGACTTTTTACCCTCACTCTCGACTTTTTACCCTCACCCTCGACATTGGACCCTCGACACTCGACAAAAACCTAAACTCCCCAGGAGCGCTGCTTACACTGCATTCTGTAAAGTATAAATGTATTTCCTCGTGTCGATTTCACCAACATTCCATACGCCATTTAGGCCACGAGAATTTCATACGCATGAGTAAAATTCCTTGCTACAGCCAGGCACGAATAAAAATCCGGAATAGCGGTTTTATGTTGCAATGGAATAAAGAATAATGAAAACTAAAAATGAACGAA